CTGGGAATGCCTTAATTTCTCCCTCACTTATAAAGGATAATTTGGCCACCACTTTGAGTATATTGACTGACTGCCTTCTGGCCTCTGGAGTTTCTGATGAGAAATCTACTGATGATCTTATTGAGGATCCCTTGTATGTGACAAACCACTTCTCTCTTGCTGCTTTCAATATTCTTTGTTTTTGTGTTTTGGAAGTTTGGCTATACTGTGTCTTGATGTGGGTTTCTTTAAGGTCATCTACATGGAATTTGTTGAACTTGAACTTCTTAGATGTTTATATTCATGTCTGTTATCAAATGTAGGAGGTTTTTTTTTTTTTACCATTATTTAAAATAATATTTTCTCTTCCCCTTTTTTTTTTAATCTCTTCTTATTCTGGGATTCCCACAACGTGTGTGTTAGTCTACTTGATGGTGTCCCATATGTCCCCTAGGCTTTGTTTACTTATCATCATCTTTATCTTTTTATACTTCAGACTCAATAATTTCCATTGTCCTTTCATCAAGTGAGCTGATTATTTCATCTGCCTGCTCAAATCTACCTTTAAATTTCTTTAGCAAATTTTTCATTTTAGTTTCTGTAATTTCATCTCAAAAATGTATTTTTTGTTTCTTTTTAGGTTTTCTATCTCTTTACTGATATTTCTATTTTGTTCATACATTATTTTGTTGACTTTCTTTATGTATTTATTCCTTTAGTTCTGTGAGAATTTTTAAGACAGGTGTTTTAAAAATTGCGTCTAGTATATGTACTGTGAGGATTTTCCAGAGGCAGTTTCTGTTGAATTTTTTGTTGTTGTTGCCGTTTAATTGTGTGTGTGTGTGTGTGTGTGTGTGTGTGTGTGTGTGTTTTAATGGAGTATACTTTCCTCGTTACTTTTGTACATTTTAATTTTTTTTGAAAACTGAGCACCTGAATCTCATAGTATGAAAACTCTGAAAGTTAGATTGTTCCCCTTTCCCAGGATTTGCTGGATTTTATAATTCTTCTCATTTATTTTTTGATTATTGTAGACTTTGCCAATGACCAGTGTGAGGAGTAAATCTAACGCCTTTTCAGTACTTTTCTGAGCCTGAAACTTTCCCTGAGCATGCATAATCACTTCCTAACTTCTCCTCTATATGCAGTTGTTTCTTAATGTCTTAATTTTTAATGCCTGGTTCCCAAAAAGAGATAAAGAGAAAAATGAAGATGGGAAAGAGGTGCTGGCTCTTTTAATCCCCTGGAAGTAATTTTAGTTGGAGCAGGAAAGGCAACAATGGCTGCCTGCCTCGGTATCTGCACCCCTTTGATCAGAAGCAGCAGTCAGCAATTTGAGCACAGATCTTGAGCATTTGGAGAATAGGACCCTCTTTGCCCACCCTGGCCCCTGCAATGTGTGTGCAAGCTGCTCCAGAAATCTGTGCACAGCTGCCTGCCACCAGAATGGGCGTGGGTGGGGGAGGCATAGCTGCCACTGTGCTGAGTGGAAACTGAATGAAGCTAACACAACTTACTGTCCAAGGCTTCCCTTGGAAGTCGCAAGCTTTCAATACACTACAAATTTCCCAAGTAGTTATATTAGACAGATTCTGCCAGTGTGATTGTTGTCTTGGTGGAAAGAGAGATTCCTGTGCTTCCTACTGTACCATCTTCCTTTTGATCTTAACTTAAAAAAAGAGACCTAGAAGGGTATACCCACTTAAGTTTCAATATTTCTAGATCTCACTTTTCTCAAGTTTAGAATGGTATATTAGTCATCTAGGGTGACCATATCAAAATATCAAAAACTGGGTTTGGCTTAAGCAACAGAAATGTATTTTGTCACAGCTTTGGAAGCTAGAAGTCCATGAACAAGGTGTTGGCAGATTTGGTTGATGGTGAGGGATTTATTCTAGGCTTGCATATGGCCTGCTTCTCATTATCTTCTCACATAGTATTTCATCAGTGTGTAGGTGAAGAGAGGGAGGTCATTGGTGTCTCTTTCTCTTCTTATAATGACATTGGTAATATTGGATTTCAGCCCCATCCTTATAATCTCATTTATTTTTAATTACCTCTTTAAATGCCCTCCAAACACAGTCACATTAACGGTTGGTGCTTCAACTTATGAATTTGGTGGGGTGAGGAGAAGGTGCACAGTTCAGTTTATAATAAATGGAAATAAAATTATTCAGTTTTCAATGTTTTTATAGTGATCAAATGCACAATGTGTATTTGTGTGACCGATAATCAGCTATCTTTCTTCTCCCATTAGTCACTGATGATGCATGAGGCTTAATCTGTAGTCCACCTACATGTTATCTATTAGCAGAGTCAGAGAAGAAAATAGTTACTATGCAACACTTCCCTAAAATCCTTAGCCCTCTGCCTCGAATACAGAAGCTTTTGAAGATGTTCATTCTAGGTCTTCTACAGTTTTGTGGGAAAGTAACTTGGTTTACCTTTTTTGAAGGTTAAATTTTGAGGTCCACCATCAAAACTAAAAATGTACAAATTAATTTTCCAAGAATTCTTTTTCCACAAATTTACTCTACAGAGAAGTTTCACAAGTATAAAAAAGGTGAAGCTACAAGATGATTCAATGTTGCATTTTTAAGTTATATTTTATTTTATTTATATAAAATTGATGTTTTGGAGTGTTTTATAAATTTGGACACATCACAGATTCATATAACAACTAGTAAAGGATACTAATACTAAAAAATAAATAAAATAAAATAATAAAATAAAATGCAACTGAAGAAAAAGGATGTTGATCAAAACAGGAACAATAAATTAAATCACAGGGCATACAAGGCACTTAATACCAGGTGGCCATCAAAAAGTGAGATGCAAATATGAATGATTCTGTGTATATGTTTGATGTATGTAAGTAAGAGTGTGTGTATTCTGGGAAATACACAAGAAAGTGAATGAGATGACTGCTGAAATGTGATACTAAAAGGCATTGTTTTAAATCCTTTCCTTCTATTGTATTAATTGTTTCCATTTACAATTATAATAGGAAAGTTTAATTTAAAAAGAAGAATAAATTGATTAAAACTTTCAAAAAGTACATTATTTTAAATCTAAGTGTTTGGGAGAGAAGACAATATCCAGTATATAGTAGTTTTTAATTAAACGTTTAATTCTGAGATTATTATGATTCACATGCAGTTGCAAGAAATAATGTTATAAAACTATAGTACAATATCACAATCAGGATATTGAAATTTATAGTCACTACAACAGAAAAGTTCCACCACCACAATATTCTTATGTTGCCTTTTTATAGCTGCTGTCACCTCCACCCTGCCTCCCCCAATTCCTGAGCCCTGGTGAAGACCAGTATGCTCTCCATTTCTATATTTGTCATTTTGAGACTACCATATAAGTGGATTTACACAGTTTGTGAACTTTTGGGATGGGCTTTTTTAAACTTAGCATAAACCCCTGGAATCCATCAAAGTCGCTGCATTAATAGTTTGTACTTTTTATTGCTAATTAGTATTCCATGGTATAGGTTTACCACAGTTTGTTCAACCATTCATTGTCTGAAAGACATCTGGGTGGCTTGTTTCCAATTTTTGACAATTAAGGAAAAATCTTCTAGGAACATTCATGGACAAGCTTTTGTGTGACCACATTTTTAATTTCTCTGGGATAAATGCTCACGAATGCAGTTGTTGGCATGTATGATAGTTGCATGCTTAGTGACATAAAAAACTACAGAAGTTATATAAGAAACTACAGAAATGTTTTCCAGAGGGGCTATAACATTTGGGACTCCCACTGGTAGAGTATGAGTGATCCTATTTCTCCACACCCTCTTCATCATTTGGTGGTGTCAATATTTTTTACTTTATGCTTATAGATGTAGAGTAATAACTCATTTTGGTTTTAATTTGCATGGGATTAATAGCTAATGATGTTGAAAATCTTTTCAAGTGCTTTTTTTTTTTTTTGCTATCTGTATATCGTCTTCAGTGAAATGCTTTTCCATGTCCTTTGCCCATGATTTAATTTGAATGCTCGTTTTTCTTTATCATTGAGTTTTGAGAATTTTTAATTTATTTTAGCTCTTAGTCTTTTGTTGGTTATTTGATTTGCAAATATGTTCCCTTAAATTGAAGCTTGTCTTTCATTTCTTTGATATTGGCTCTTGCTGAAGAAAAATTTTTAATTTTGATGAAAACATCTTAGTAATTTTTCTTTTTATCTATCATGCTTTTGGTCAAATCTGAGAACTCTTTGCCTAGTCATAGATACAAAAGATTTCTCTCATTTATTTTCTTTGAAGTTTTACAATTTTATGTCTTTACATTTAATTCCATGATGAATTTTGAGCTCATTTTTGTATAAATGGATGTTTAGGAGTAGATTATTATTATTATGTGGATGCCCAATTGCCCCAGCACTATTTGTGAAGTGGCTGTGTTTCTTTCATTGAATTTCCTTTGCATGACTGTCAAAAATTAGTTGTGTGTCTTTGTGTGGATCTATTTCTAGGTTCTCTGTTCTCTTCCTTTGGTCTTTGTGTCTGTTCCTCTGCCAAAACCACACAGTCTAATGCCAATAGCCATATAGTAGTAGGTCTTCATATTTAGTAGAGTGATTGTTTCCACTTCAACCTTTTTTGTCAGGATGGTTTATAAGCTATCCTTAAGCATATGCCCTTCCATATGAATTTTAGAGTAAGCATGTTTTTGTATACAATTGCACTAAACCTATGGATCAATCTGGGGAGAATTGACATCTTTACCATGTTTAGGTTTCTCAGTTCATGACACAATAGCTCTTCATTTATTTAGGTCTTCCTTAATATATTTACCAACATCTTATAATTTTCAGCATAAAGACTGTAAATGTTTTACGTTTATTCCTAAGTATGTCATTGTCTTTGGAGTGCTTGTAAATTGTATGACCTTTATAATTTTGCTTTCCACATTCATTGCTAGTATGCAAAAATGTAATTGATTTTGTTGTGTATCTAGTGTTTTTAATTAAATTAACCAATGAAAATATCTCTTACTTTACAGATTCAGGTGTCCTCACTCCTCCAAAACAGGAAAACCTGAATTCTAACTGAATTGTCTTGAATTTGAATTTCATTTCACCGATAATGCAATTGGAACAAGGAAAGCTTTGTGGTGCAGTAAGAAGAAGGTGAACTTTGAAGTCCAAGAGATGTGAGTATGGATTCTAGTTGGCCACATACAAGATTTGTGCCCAGGAGGAGGTTAATTAAGTTCTCTGAGTCCCATTTCTGTAATAATAAAAATAATGACAGTGATAAGAGCTATTGCAATGCAGCATTTCATGTAAGACAGAGCTTGTTTTAAGAGCTTTCCATCTTGCTTGTTTTGGCGTGTTTTTTTGTTTAGTTTTGTATTAGCTTGCTGCTAATCCTTTTGGCAGAAAACCTAAGCCTGAGTTTATATGAAGCTGTTTATCATTTATCTTTATTTCACCTATTGTGAAAGTTTTTGCTGTAAAAGTATCAATGCTTTTGATTACAAGGTGCTTTTAATTACAGGTAAACCTACCGTACTGTGGAACCAGGCAGTCTAACCTCAGCTCATTCTTAGTCACCATGCTCTAGGTATCCTTAGGCTACGTGAACTACTGCACGTGAAAAGTCTTGGATAGAGTCCTTGGGGGCATCTTGAAGAAATATTTAAGTTCTCCTGAAGCTTTTCCGGGTCTGTATTCTCGGATTTAGAGGTATAATAGAGGTAGAGAAGTCAGCCTCTCATCACTGTTGGCACACACTTCCACACTTGCCAGAAAGGGTATTTTCACACATTTCTGGAGACCATTCATGGGAGGTGGTGTGATGCCTCATCATTGTCTGCAGCCTGAGATTTCCCCAAAGGTGTAGCTGAGTGATCCCTGTGACACTCTTTGGTTTAATGATGCTTACTCATTACCACTTTCATTGCAACTTCAATAGACTAAATATCATATCACCATTTAACATCTTTCCTTCAACGTTTCATTCTGTATGGCCACTGAACAGGATATACTTACCCCCAAGCCTGATTGAAGTAATACAAAGCTTTACCATTTAACTTGGATTAAACTACTTTAGAATGAGTATGATTATGAAAACGCCCTCAGCTCATTAATTTCTGTGACCAAGATGAATGATACGTCATAGTGCCACCAATAAAGCTGGACTGGTCAGCATTCAGGTGACACCAATGTCACATTCCCCATAGCACTGCAAGGGTCTAGACTCACTGCCAGCAGAACAAGAAGGTTGAGTCACAGAAGCCACTGAAGGCCAAAATAAGTTTTCAAAATATGTAAGGGGGAAAAATACAAGTAAAGAATAAGGGAGTTGGAAGAAATCTAATTGATCATTCAACTTTCTAATCTTAAAAATATGGAAACCAAGACACAACAACAAAAAAAAGGGATATACCCAAGGTCATATAAATGATTTCTGGAAAGATCACAGGCAGTTACATAAGCCATGAACTCTGAAAGCCATCCAAGATTAACAATTTTTAAAGACAGATTGCATAGCATTGCTAATTCCATTTTCTAACAGATTCATCGGCTAGCTTAGCATTTCATCTATATTCATCTCAATTTCCTCAAACTACACACACTTAAAATAAATCAAGGCCAATAATATATGCTTATCTAGAAAATACCTTGTGAAATTGCTCTTATTTAATATTGCTGCTCTCTTCCATTTTGTCCTGTCTATATTAATTTTCCTCTATGTATTTCAAGAGAGAAATACATTTCTGTGTCACTAAGGAACCCACTATAATTATTCATGTAATTACACATGTACGTATGACTGCTTTCATATTCTAGTTCAATGGTTTTAAATGAGCAGAGAATGAAAAAAATGTATACATTATTTCCTGTTATACCAAGAACATATTTTGCCCTCAATAGGTACATGTTAAATTTAATAAATCAATGAGATGAATAAGTATCTGTAGGGTGCAGGTCATTAAAAAATAACATAGATTAGTAAAAACAAACCTTTCAGGATAGACTATGCTTTGATAAAAAAGTGAGGCAGAGAGCAAGAGAGAAGCTTGTTTACCAAGCTTGAAATTAACTTCTTGTGAGTTTTTTCACTCAGACAGTAAGTAGTTACTGAGTGCCATGTGTTAGGCTTTTTATTTGCCAAAAATACAGTGTAGAAATAAAAACAGAGATAGTTTCTGCCCTCAAATAGCTTAATGCCAAGTGAGAAAAAATTATTAAACAAAATCTCACAAAGAAATATACATGCGTATAGTTCTGTGTAAGAAAAGTCCTGGGTCTTCTGGGAGAATCTACCAGGCTGTGATGAAATAGGGACCAGATGCTAACTGGTTATGTGGTCTAAAAGCAAAACAGGGGCCAGGCGCGGGTGGCTCACGCCTGTAATCCCAGCACTTTGGGAGGCTGAGGTGGGCGGATCACAAGGTCAGGAGATCGAGACCATCCTGGCTGACCCAGTGAAACCCTGTCTCTACCAAAAATACAAAAAATTAGCCGGGTGTGGTGGCAGGCGCCTGCAGTCCCAGCTACTCAGGAGGCTGAGGCAGGAGAATGACGTGAACCCAGGAGGCGGGGCTTGCAGTGAGCCGAGATCACGCCACTGCACTCCAGCCTGGGCAACAGAGCAAGACTCCGTCTCAAAAAAAAAAAAAGAAAGAAAGAAAGAAAGCAAATCAGTGTCATTGAAGGTTTTTAGCAGGGTTGTGCCATAATACTTAGTATTTTGTTTTGTTTTGTTTTATTTTCTGTGTTATTTTTGTTTTGTTAACACAGATTATTAGTAATCAATCATTTTAGTCTTTGAAGTTGTAGCTAGGATGGTTGTGAGGTGGCCAGCCTTCACCGTAAAGAAACACTGGAACCTGTGACTTATTAGGTACCCATTGCAAGACAACATAGCAATAGACAGTTTTTACCCTTGCATATTTACACTTATAAGAACAGATCAGTGGTACAATTTCTAGAAATGAAAATATTGTGTAGTGAAAATATTGTGTAGTTCCTAAAATAAAGTAGGCACTATAAAGAGAGACTCGGGATGGGGAAGCCCAAACAGTCAGACAATATCCTCTGAAATATAAAACTGCTACCAGGGCAGGGTAACACCAGCTCTTTCAAAATAGTGCAGTGAGATAAACACTAATATCCTTAATTCTAGGCATTTTGCAAACATGAAAGACTAGCATTTTTACCACTGCTTTAGAGATAAGCAAACTGAAGCTCAGAGAATTTGAGTAACACATCCAGAGTGACGAAAATAGTAAATGATAGAGCCAAAATTTATGGAAATAAAACAAAGCTTTCTAGTCGAAATGTTTTTACAAGAGGTTTTACCCTCATCTTCTTGGAAATTCTTATAGAAATGTTTTGACAGAGCTTAACTCCCATCTTAAACAGGACAGATAGACACACGGTCGTAGGCTATATTGTTACCCCCAATCATTCTACCTCATCTTCTTTGTAAAAGAATTATACATCTGCTGTCTTTGCCATGTGACCTGCAGTGTCTGCCCTCACCCTGGAAGGAGTACTTATCCCTGACTCAGGTGTTAGGACTTGCCTTATGACCTGCTTTGACAATGTAAGCAGATGGGGCCTGCGTTAGTCTGAGCTGACGCTTTACGAGGCAGTGGAATTTCCCACTAGACTCTTGTTCTCCTCCAGATAATGGCATTCTCCAAAGAGGGTCTGCTCATTCAACTTGGATACATGGAGAAGAGCCATAGCAGCCATTCTGCAGCCACTGACAGGCAACCTGCATGAGAAATAAGGATTTGTTGTTGTCTTCGTTTATTTGTGCTTCTGTAATAAAATATTTCAGACCCACTAATTGATAAACAATAGAAATTTATTACTTATGGTTCTGGAGGCTGGAAAGTTCAAGATCAAGGCACCAACAGGCATGGTGTCTGGTGAGGGCTGCTCTCTCTTTCTAAGATAATGCATTGTTGCTGCATGCTCTGAAGGGGATGAAGAATGTGTCCTCATGTGATGGAAGGGACTGAAAGGCTAGAGCATGCTCCCTCTAACATACAGCCCTTATAAAATGATGCTAACCCCATTCGGGAAGGTGAAGCCCTCATGACATAATCGCTTCCCAAAGACCACACCTTTGGGTATTACATTTCAATATAAATTTTAGAGGGGCACACATTCATACCGAAAATCCTTGTTATAAGCCACTGAGATTATGGACTGCTTATTACTATAGCACAGGTGACTAATATATATGTGAAATATAAACTGTTTCTTTATCAGTAGCCACTAATAATCTGTTTTCAAAGTAAAATATGTTATCTGAAGAAAATTCCTTTGTTTGAAGTACAGTTGTTAAGATTCAGTTCTTATTTATCCCTGATATTTTTATTACACAATTTTTTCCTGTATAATTTTTTGTTAAGCTATTCATTCTACCAATTCATGGGACGTATGGTTAACAGTTGACTAATCTTTCAAATGCCTTCAATACTTCTATTATTTAGATATGAGTTTTTCTATTTCTAAAGTATTTAAGTACATTATAGGGTAATTACAGACTCATTGTGGGAAAATACATTAATGTGTATATTAACCTTAGGAGATCTGATATTATATCAATATTTAGTTTTTCTTTTCTACAATATGAGTTTTTAATGAGATTTTTCTCAAGCCATAATTTCTCTTTGTAATTTTCCCCATATAATTCCTAAACAATTATTTTGGTAAATACATTACTATGTATTCCTTTAAATCAGTTTTTATCATTATGAGAATTAAGCTTTATTCATAAATTTTTTATCTTGTTATAGCTGAAGTGTAGAAAATGAACTGGGTAATTATTCTTTACAAAGCTACTGCCTTGAATATTTTTTGTTGATTCTAATAGTTTTCAGATGACTCAAGTTTTCCCATCACGTTGCCTATAAATAATAATAATTTTGTATCATTCCTTCAAATAGGAGTAACTCTAGTATACTTAATGTCATTAGAAGAAAATTCCCAGGGAATTTTATCAAAAGTGGTAAACCAATTATCCTTGTCATTTTCATTTATTTATTTTTTTAAGAGATGGAGTCTCATGATGTTGCTCAGGCTAGAGTGCAGTGGTGCCATCATAGCTCACTACAGCCTCAAACGCCTCTATCAGCCTCTCAAATAGTTGGGATTGCAAGCATGAGCCATGGTGTCACATAGGCAT